CGAAGAGGGCCGCCGCAGCCGCAGCAAAGGAAGAAAAGGAGCGAAAGGAAAGAGAAGCCCGAGAAGCCCGAGAAGCCGAAGAAGCAGCCGCCGGGGCAGAACGCAAACCCAGCCCAGTGCCCGACGACACCACCACCAGCGACCCCCCGCCGGCGTCCGACGTCGAAATGGCCGACGCCCCGTCCCTCCCGCAATCCTACCCGGCCGACGGCACCATCCTCCCGGCCTACGCAAAACCGCCGCCGGCGCCGCACGCGAGCGACGCCGACCCGCTGCTCGTCTCGCACGTGCCGGCGTTCCCGGCGGACGACGAGCTGCGCGCGCTCATGGCGGCGCCCCCGCTCAGCTACCTCGAGGCACGCGCGCGCTGGGGCGACGAGGAGCGGCGGTACCCGCCGCGCGCCTTCTGCGAGGTGTGCGGGTACTGGGGCAAGGTGCAATGCGTCAAGTGCGGGGCGCGGGCGTGCGCGCTCGACTGTCTTGAGGCGCACCGGGAAGAGTGTGTGACGCGATATGGGCTTTGAAGTCATGGGGGTGGGGTTATTTAGTGGTAGAAGTTTTTTTGGGGGCATTTTTGATACCCGGTTTTTAAATAGGAGTCATGAGTTGCATATTCACCGGTGTTGGTAGATAGTCTGAAGTTGTTGTGAGTGAGGATACAGAAGAGAGGTCTGTCCAAGTCTAGACTGGCCGGTTGGCCGTAACCTTGGCGGCCAGCCTAGCCTTCGCTTCTTGGGTAAGACATATGTGTAAGGAGTTCAGCCCTCATGAAGAAGTGTTTCGTTTTGGGACCAACTTCTTGTATCAAACATGGCCACAACCGTGTCAAGTTTATCCACGGCGAACGCCAGTGTATCGTTTATTTTTTTTCTATCCCAGAGCCTCATGTTGATGGAGGTCTAATGCGGGTCCCGTAGTTCTATAGCCCCTAGGGCACCCCCTTTCCAACCTCTAAACCCTCTTTGCAAAAGTCCCACCGCCATCCGCCAGCAATATACACAAACGAATAATAACCCCCACCCCGATCCCTCAAGACCCTGTCGTCAAACTAAACGCCACATCCCCGCTGCTCGCGCCGCCCCGACACGTCGCGGCCAGGCTGCCCGTGGGACACACGGCCCGGGCCGCGCGCACACACTGCTCCCAGCGCTGCTTGGACAGCGTGATGGTGGCGCCCTCGTGAAGCGCCATGAGGCTGAACAGGGCGCTGCCCGAGCGGCCGACGGTCGTGGACACGGGGAGCCCGCTGCACTTGGTGATGGCGGCGCCTGCGATGCCGCCGCAGATGGCGAGCTCGGCGACGTTTTGGTCGTGGAAGACGATGTGGCTGGGAACGGGGGTTAGTCATGGAGGGAGGGGGGGAGGAAGAGTAGCATACGCGTTGGGGTCGATGCAGGTTGTGTCGGTGATGGCGCGGGGGTTTACCGAGGTGGAGGCGCGCATCTTGAGGACTTCGTAGTGGGAGTAGGGTACGATTACTCGTTGCTGCATGTGGTAGGGGGCCGCGAGGCAGAGGGTTGTGAGGGTCAGGGTGACGAGGAGGTGGAGGAGGGTGGCGGGTGAGGAGAACATCTTCGGTGTCTGGGGTCGTGTGTTTCTCCTGGTGGGATGTGGTGTCACAGTTGAGAGGACAGTCCAGCTCGTCGGGTTTATAAAGAACGGTCGGGGTATGTAAGGAACAAGTCGTCAAGTCGCACGGCGATAAACGAATAAAACACACAACTGAAATGAAGAAAGAGAAGCCCGCAATATCACAGATCTCGAGACCAGCCGCAAGAAATGGAATGGGGACGCAAATGGGAATCGAGATCCCGTTTGCTCGAGAACAAAACAAACAGGTGGGAAATGGGGGAGAGGGACAAGCGGTTTTCTACAGGATCTTGAAGCTTACTCCCGACCTGCCTGTCCTAGCCTGTCTTCGTCAGGGGGGGGTGGGTGGCTGCATGGTCGATCTGCATGCAAGCCGGGCAGCTGGTGTTTTCCTGCGCGGGCCTGCTCTTCTGCGACAGCTCGCCACGGCAAACACCCTAGCGCACGGCGTCAAGTTAGCCATCGCCAATGAGACGACGCTGGAGGCAGTTCCAGAAACGCAGCACTCCCGGGCCGCGCGAGCGAAGAGCAGATCGGGTGGATCTTTGCTGGGCAGCATAGCGGAAAGCCAGGTTTTGGGGTGCTCTCCTGGGACCTGCCTGGCCCGTGGTGGCCCTCTTTGGCGTCCTTGGACCAACAGAGGTGAGAGTGGTGAGGGGATGAAACACCGGCGAGCCCTGGCCAGGCTCACAACTCAGTGCGCGCTGCTGGTCATTGGCCAATGGGATCCACCCAGCACTCGCCAAACCCCTGTTGGCGGGCAGAGACAAGCACCAGCTCTCCATCTTCCTTTTTGGAGGGGCTGAGAAGGCCGCAGGGCTGGAGCGACTCCTGACAACTGCGTCCACCATCACCACAAGGCGCTGTGATTCCTTCATCTGAGCTGCTTGAACTGGGCACCCGCCCATTCAATTGCTGCAGTTCGTCTTCGTCCCGTTAGCTGTCGAATTGAACGCGTGCAGTTAGCTGCAGTGGATTGGTGGGACTTGCCCGTTTCCCCTGAGCACTCAACCCGACATCTCATAAATCCCGAGCAAACGCTTTTATTATCCCGTTCAGATTAAACTCCAAATTCACCGAATTCGAGCTCATACGCCGTACCAAGCTGGTCTATAGTAGCATTAAAGGGCTGCCTACTCAATTGCGGCACACAAACTGAAGCCACTTGTTCCTTCGTCGATCCTGGAACTCCGACAGAACAACCCAACAGCCAGGATCCTGTACTTTATCTGGTGCGCCTATTAGAGGAAGATCCAGCAAACACCCACTCTAACAGCCGTTGATCTCCTGGAATCATTCCCAGCACCCAGCAATATGCCACATAACCCGTAGACCCTGTCTCCCCGTAGACCCTGTCTCCCTGTATAGTCATAGTCTATCTCAAACCCGCCCTCCCCTCCGCTCCCCACACACGCCGCAAACGCCGCAGTCATTAGCATTGCGATAGCTGCTGCCTCGGCATGCCTGGCTGGTACACGCCCAAGCCTTGGGCATTATCTTGATATCTAGAACATTGGCGCACATGGCGCAAGTCGGAGCCAGTCCTTCGTTGGTGAAAGAGCACACCGAGCATACGCTGCTATTGCCGCCGCTGCTGCTAGAGGGCCCAGAGGCTTTCGGTTTGAGTGAGGTCGGCGGCGGGTCTTTCGCCCTCGTCGACTTCGAACTTGCAGAGAGCTCCAACCGGTTTCTCGGCGTTGTATGTTTTTTTACCGTAATTTTGCGGTCAGGCGGCTGTTCTTGTTTGCCCGGTTTCCCTCCTTCCGATTTTACACTTGGTTTGGTGGTCGACCCTTTGTCTGCAATCGTAGCCGGTATCGCCTCTTCATCTTCGACTTCGACTTCGGCCAGCGTCGAGCTGAAGCCCTGTAACTCCAAGAGCTCCCTCTGTGCATCCTGATCCTCGGGATTCTCATCCTCGCAGATCTTGGTCATACCCCTCCCCTTCGCATCCAACAACCTCCTTCCGTTAATGTCAAGGGCGTCAGCACTTGAATCGCCGTCGACATCGTCGTACTCTTCCCCACTACTTCCACTCTCCTCCTCACTAGCCGTACCCTCCTCCTTCACCTCCTCCCTCTTCTGATCAAACCTCGCCAGGGCCGCCGCCGCCCTCAGCTCTCTGCCCCTGGCACTCCCCGCAACACGCGGCTTGGCCGCAACCTTGCGCCCCTTCTCCAGCTTCTTCTCGGCCTCGATATCCCCGCCGAGGGCCACGCCGTTGGCCCCAAACTTCTTGAGGATCCTCCGCTCCTTCTGCTCGCGGTACGAGAGCGCCTCCTTCTTTGGCTTCCGCTTCTTGCGGGACTGGTAGGTCCCGCCGCAGAGGTGCTCGGGGAGCTGCTCGCCCGGCTGGACGGCATTGTCCAGGAAGAGGCCGGTCGCGAGGTGGGCGCCGCGGCCCCACAGCCCCTCGCCTGTGAAGCCGCGGGTCCAGAGGACGCGCATCTGGCCGGCGTACTGGTTGCGGACGGCCCAGAAGGCGCGGGAGTGGTTCATTTGCTTGCAGTGGGCGAGCTCGTGCATCATGACCATTTGAACGTAGTTGAAGGGGAGCCAGTGGCCCGAGCGGGCTTTGAGGACGAGCTGGATCACTTCGCCCGCGTTGAAGTTACGGCCTACGAATTCTTTGTTGAACGGATACTCCTCGAGCGACATGACCGAGAGGTGGTCGTCCCTCATGATGGGCACTGCTCAATCAATCAATACTCGGCTCTGAGTAGAGGTCGGATGCGGGACACTCACAACATTGCGCTGCGATCTTCTCGAGGAAATCGCGGGCGATGTCCTCATCTGGGCCCTTGAGCGGCTTGATGAAGACGATGCGGTCATTGGGCTGCGATTTTTTTGCGTTGATGCGCTGGATCCCAAGTGGCATCTTGTCTGTAAAGGAATCATTCTTGGGTGGAAGCAGGAGAGAGGACAAGCCAGAATTTGAGTTCAAGGATCAAGAAGCTGACAGCTGTCGAGGGGTGGCTGCAGGGCGAAAGAAGCCCCGCCACGCGTTAGGGACAAGTTCGCGTTGAGGGGCTCAAGACAGGACACGCCAAGTCACGTGGATTTTGAGTCGCAGTTCGTCGAGTCTGCAATGGTACTGCATGTTTTCTCTTCCTATTCCTATAAATGCTGATTTAAAATGATTTGTTTCTTTGCAAATACCTTCCATCCATTCCTCAATTCCTATCATACCTTCAGACTCATGGCATTGGAATTAGGGTTAGGGTCACGGGTTATGTCGGCGCATCCGGTTGCACCTTCCTTGGTTAACTCGGTGGCTGTGAAACCACTGCTTCTCGCCTGCAGCAACTCCCCCTTTTCCGGTGCTGGTCAAAAATACATGCTGTTGACAAAACACCAACCCCCGCTGAACGGCTACGTTCGCGAAGCTTTCTCACAACAATTACCGTATTGGTCGGGTGGCGCAATGGTAGCGCGTTACTTTCCGGTGTCCTCAATATCATTGATTGGTAAAGGCTCTGGGTTCGAATCCCAGCTCGATCGATTCTTTTTGCTCTCCCCACCGAGATCTCGAGCTGCGATACTCTATTGTCCCATCCCTGTTTGTCTGTCGACGTAATATGCTCGATCCGCCACGAAACTCCCTTTCTGGCATCCCAAAAAGCATGCCCAACATCTGGAAAAGGGGCGAAACCTATGAGAACGACCTCCGCACCCGTCTCGCCCCTATCCGCGAGCGACACTACCTCGCTAGTGCCGGGCGCCTCCTGCTCATCCTCAAGCGCCGTGATATCCTCTCTACTGTCCTACCATTTCTCCTCGCTCAGCTCGAATGCCTTGGCCTTGATCTCCTTGGCCGTCAGCGACTCCGGCTGGATCTCCTTCCACCGGAGACTCGTCATGGAGCTTCTTGCTACTCACTCGACGTGCGCTAGAAAAAGTCACGACGGGGCTCAAGAGGTTATGGAAATGTTGGCTCGATGATCTCACGTCAGGTGTTAGTAAAAAGGGGGCAATTACCCTAGGACGCGGAAGTCCATCCTCCACAGCTGCACTTCCAGACTCTGTCTCAACCTCTTCCGGTGTGGCACTTGACGGGCTCGTCGAAATTGCTTCGGGGCTCGCAGCGTCATCCGACCCTTGTTTCTTCTTTCTCTTGGTTGGCGTAAACAGCTGCTTAGGCTTCTCGTCCGCCATCTCGACATCGCCATTTTCGTCTTCGTCTTCTTCACCCTCTCCCTCCTTGTCATCTTCATCGTCATCTTCATCGTCATCCTCATCCTCGGAAAACCTAATCCAACATATCAGCAACCGCGAATGCAGCAACTCCATCGAAACATCCACCTCCCCCCCTTCCCCTCCTTCCCCTCCACTCCCAGGTCAACCTCCCCATCGCCCCCCAACGCCGCCAACCGTCTCAACAACTCCACCTCATTCGCCCTCCTCCTCCCCACCCTCCCCTCCCCAGCCGGCCCCCGCCTTCCTCCTGTCTACCCCTCGGCCCCCTCAACCTCAGCGGGAAGAACCGATTCCGCTCCACGTTCCACGCAAACAGCTGGTTGAAGAACTCGCTCTCAATGCTTTCCTCCGTCCCCTCGACATCGTGTACGCCCCCAAACAAGATCCCCCTCCCCCTATGGTGCGCCATCGTCGCGCCCGCGCGCGTCTCGAGGGGTGCGTCGGCGGGCGGCTGGGCGATGCGGAGGAAGAAGGTGTCCTGGAAGCCGCCGAACAGGATGATGAAGTTCTTGTAGTACGCCATGCGGTGGCCGCTGCGGGTCGGCGGCCTTGGCCGCCTTCACCTTGGCCTTCTCTCGGCCTTCCTCTCCTGCTTCTGCTTCTTCTCGACCAGCTTGGCCTTTTTGGTATCGGTCTTGGCTTTCTTCTCTTTGGCCATCTTGACTGGCTGGCTGAGTAGCGCTGGTGTTGACTTGGCTTCACTTGACTTCAAGTGAGTCCTAATTGTCTAGTTGCGTACATCTCACACGGTTGGCTGTGGCGGAGGGGTGAGTGCGGAGAAGGGGTTGTTTTCAAGCGAATGCGCAAACCAGCCACGCGCAACAGCATCTGAGAGAGGCCGGCGGAATGCTTCTCCAACCAGCATCGACCATCTGACTTCAGGTTGTGTGGTCGCCGACGCCATTTGGCATCAAAAACCCAAAGGGAAAAAAATACTTTTATTTTATTTTATAGAAACCCGAGGATAAATAGATCATTTCGGGGCATCGGGTGCCCCTTCATTTCATTTCGTCTACTATACACTTACTCTAGGTATCTAAGAAAGCCATGATGCACATTTCAAGGCTTTCCTAGCAGCAATTTTCTCCCCAATTATAGCCGATGTGGCCTACTGCCAACTGAGTCTCTCTCGATACAGGGCACTGACCACCTCGTCAGATCTTGGACCTGACCATGGCACTTTCGTCTCACGCACCATATCCGTTCTCCTTGACCCAGGCAGCCACGTCGGCGCGGTCACGCTCCAGCCACGAGATCTTGGATCGGATGGCATCCAAGCTCTGAGCCAGAGACTGGTCGAAACCATTGGTGCTCTTGCCTGCGAAGAACTTCTCCACCTTTTCCAGCTGCTCCTTCTTGGTGAAGCTCGAGGTGAAGATCGTCACCATGGTGCCCAGCATCGACAGTGCAGGCGGCAGTTTCTTGACGAGCTCGTCCCAGTTGTTCACCATGAAGTCAAACAGCGCCTCAATGCCTTCGGGGTGGCTGCGGAGACCAGCCGTCGGCATGTAAATGTCCTGGTCCTTGATCTCGCCGCTGAAAAGCAGTCCTAGGGTCCTCTGGATGAGCTCGGGGTTCTTGGAGCGGCCGAGGCAGCGCAGCGCCGTGTTGCGCTCATCGCTGTTTGTTGACGTGCGATAGAAGTTAAGGATGGCATCATACTGTCAGTTCGGTTAGTTTCCGGGACACACACGGGATAGGGATCTGCAACACACCTCTTCCTTTCCGCCATGCTTCAAGGCCATGCTGAACACACTGCCCCGAATGTTGGGGTGGATGGCCGACTTGTCACCAGCCATGTACTTGGCAAACATGTCCTGGGCTGCCTTGATGATGGTCTGGTTGCCGCAGATACCGGCATTTCCAAAGAGCATAGCCTTGAACTGCTGCTCAATGTGGCCGTCGTTCTCCGAGAACTCCCAGCCGAGCTCATGGGCCTTGTGGCTCACCAGGTCCCGTTGGAAAGCTTCCAGGCCGTCGCGAACCGACTTGTCCTCGAAGATCCAGGCTCCCTGGACGGATGCAACCCGAGAAATGAGCTCGTTCCAAACAACAAACTCTGTCTCCGAGTTGAATCCCTTCAGGAGGCTCAGGACTCCCGAGGTCCTCTGATATCCCGAGGTAGCCAAGGCACCGGCGTCGGCAATCATACCGGCTCTATCCTCAACGCTGAGAAGACCCTGCTTTGCCGCAACACCAAGCTTTTCCAAACGCTCCGGGGAGTACGATGTGCGGTACAGACCAGTGTGGTTTGCGTTGAGCTTGAAAAAGTCATTGTTTGGAACGGTGAAGTCACCCTCGCGGCTGCTGAGAGTCAAAGTCTCATCAACACCATCCTTGGTACGGAGACCAAGGAAAACGGGGTAGAGAACCTGGTCCTCCTCGGGCTTGGTGTCGCCAGTACGCAGGAATCGGTTTTGCTTCAGGTGAATGGTCTTGTCATCCTTCTCCTCAACCGTTACAACGGGGAAACCGATGTTCTTTGTCCAAACCTGCATAACATCCTCCACGTCCTTGCCGCTGGCCTCGGCAAGCGATGCCCACAGGTCGCCGGTTTGCGTGTTGCCGTAGGCGTGCTTCTTGAGGTAACGTCTCACACCCTCCAAGAAGACGTCTTCACCCAGGTAGGTCGAGATCATTCTCAGAACGCAAGAGCCCTTGGAGTAAGAAATGGCGTCGAAGATTTGGTTAATCTCGTCAGCCTTCTTGACAGGAACTTCAATCGGGTGACTGCTGCGAAGGGAGTCCAGGGCAAGAGCGCGCTGGAGGTTGTCCGTGACATAGCTCTCCCAGACCTTCCACTCGGGGTAGAAGACATTGCAGGAGTACCAAGAAGCCCAAGTGGCAAAGCCCTCGTTGAGCCACAGACCATCCCACCAGTCCATAGTGACAAGGTTGCCAAACCATTGATGTGCAAGCTCATGCTGGACGACCTCTGCAACCCGCTCCTTGGTGGCTGCACCACTGACCTTCTCATCCAAGAGAAGGTCGACAACGCGGTAGGTCACAAGACCCCAGTTCTCCATGGCACCTTGGGCAAAATCGGGAATGGCGATTTGGTCCATCTTGGGAAGAGGGAACTCAATACCGAAGACCTTCTCGTAGAACTCCAGAGTCTTGGCAGCCAGGTTGAGAGAGAAACGGCCATGCTCAATGTTCTGACCAGGGGGGGCGTAGACGCGGACGGGGACTCGGAAGTCGTTGGTCTCGATCATGTTGAGCTCTCCGACGATGAACGCCACAAGATATGTCGACATCAAGGGCGACTTGTTGAAGGTCACAGCCTTCTTGGTGCCTCCGCTGATTGTAGACTGGACCTCGGTCTCAGAGCCGACATCCATGTTGCTCAGGCAGGTCAGGCTCTTGTCGGCAATAAGAGTCACGGTGAACTCGGCCTTCAGGGACGGCTCGTCGAAGCAGGGGAACGCCCGGCGAGCATCGGTGGGCTCCATCTGCGTAACGGCCAAGATACCCTCGGTACCGTCAGGGTTCTTGTAAGTCGAGCGGTAGAAGCCGGCCATCTTATCGTTGAGCACGCCGGTGAACTTGACCTCCAGCTGCGCATTGCTGCCCTTGGCGACGGTGTTGTCGAAGTCGAACTTGCTGACCTGGGTGGCCTCGTTGTATGTCACGGCGGGGGAAGAGCTGATAGTCTGACCGCCGGAGGTGATCTTGGCATTGTGAATGTCGAGCTCAATGGTGTGCAGAGAGATGGACTTGGAATCGTCGACGACGTCAAGGTCAATGACCACGGTTCCCTCGAAGGTCAGCTTCTTGAAGTCGGGCTCGAGGGTGACATGGTAGTGGCGCGGGATGACGTTGGCGGGGAGCAGTTCTCTGGCCTGGATGTTGACCCCGCCTGCCACTTCGGCAGTAGCTTGTGTGCGGCACATGTTGTGACGGCGGTGCGAGCAATAGCGTACCGGCGGGTTGGGAAGACGAATCAATCGCGAACGAGAGGCTGTTGGCAGTGTTCTATACCGAGACGCAAGGTTGAAGGTTGGTATAGAATACAACCGTCGCGAGCTTGAGTAACTGAAGCGGGGTGTGGTGTGTTAGCTTCACCCGGCAGAAAGGCATCGACGACCCAAAGGGGGGAAGGGGAGGGGTGGATCCAGCCCGGGTGCTCCTACAGTAAAGGAATTTTCTTCGCGGTTTGGGCGTTCAAAAGAATCCTTTGGGCTCCTCGATAGGCAGGCCGCAGCGCGAGAGACGAACGAAACATGGCCAAAAGAGAACGACAGATCAAATGAGAGACAGAAGACCTTATATGTACAGCAGATCCAACTATCGTACACGGCGCA